TTATTTGTAAATCATGTATTATTTTTAAAATAAAACCTTCAATAAATTTATTCCTAAACATTTACCTAAATTTTATATAAAGTTTTTAAAATATTTAATACAGTAGCCACTTGTTATATCACACCTTGTTATAGTACTCATTTGAATATATCATGTTATTCTTTTGCGTTCCAAATATGAAAGTGCTCTAGCCAATAATGTATAGATTTATATTGTGCCATTTGATATATTGATTATTTGGTTTGCCTCCCTACAAGTGTATACAAATTGCAAATTCAAATATAAACATAGAGAATTGAAAATTGAATTGGAAAATAATCTAAATCTAATTTAAAAAAATTTTTATTTTATAGCATCATTGCATTGTTAATGAGGAAAAGAATTCTGTTTGTTTACAGAATCATATCAACTTCAATTCATTTTATCTTATTTTATTCAGTCAAAGTTCATCTGAACTGAATAACATTTTAGGGTAAACAATTTGGTGCATTTTTTCTGTAATTCTGTAGGATTTTGTTTTCCATTTTAAAATGCTGTAGCATTTACATTATAAACTGGAACTGTTAACAAACAGGTTACAAACTGTCTTTATATACAGTATCTACATTAGACATATATTATCTTTTATAATCTATGTTTAAATGATTTAAAGGAAGGATTAAAATAACTGATTATGGTACTATTTTTGATGATGATAACCAGTTTTGAAAAAATTGAAAATACTTGAACTTTGTAAAGAAACAACATATTGAAAGTTTTCTTCATTATTTTCCAATCAAAAGATGTAATTCTTTACAATATAAGCTTCATAAAATGGAAAAATTGAAAGAAAAAAAACTCAAAATACCAGACATTTGGAAAGATGTTATAGAAAAGAAAACAAGATTTGATATAATCCAAATAAAGTATTAATTTTTATGAGTACAAGGTTTGTTTTAGTGAGACCATGTAAAAATTAATCAGAAATTCTCTGTTTCCAAATACAGAGATATTTAAATACAATGGAAGACCTTATCTAATATTGCATATTAACTCAATACAATGAGTTTCTGATTAATTTTTACACAGTCTTACTAAAACAAATCTTGTTTTATCAATAGTAAGACTGAAACCTTATAAGCTACCTGGAGATTGTTTTATGAGAACCCAAATAAGAACTCTCTACTAGGGGTCTACAAGATATAATTTTACATATATGATGGTTTATATTGTGACTTCATATATGTAAAATTATATCTTGTAGACCCCTAGTAGAGAGTTCTTATTTGGGTTCTCATAAAACAATCTCCAGGTAGCTTATAAGGTTTCAGTCTTACTATTGATAAAACAAGATTTGTTTTAGTAAGACTGTGTAAAAATTAATCAGAAACTCATTGTATTGAGTTAATATGCAATATTAGATAAAGTCTTCCATTGTATTTAAATATGGAATGTAGAAAATACATAGCCATGTAAAGTATTGTTACACTGTTTTCAATATTTTAAAAAAAAATTTAGGTCTTAGAAGATGTATCATTGCATGAGCAGACATTCCAATATAGATTATTGACATTTAGAATCTCTGATAGACCTGAAAAAGGTTTATCAAAGGAATAGAAAGTATACAGTGTATGTACCAATTAAATAATATAATTACAAAACTAACACTACAAAATAAAAACTCTAATGCAAAATAGTTATATATCTTTGAAGTAATCACCTCCAATGTCTATAAACTTTCAATAATGGATCCAGAAATCTTTATAGGATGTGCAGAAAGGAAACAATATGCCTTACAAAATTTTTTACTACCTGAGGTACCTGGCTTTACTCAGGAAAACCCCCCAGAAATGCCCAGGATGCAGCTGCATACTTTACATCTTTTATACATGTTTTGAAGACACTTTTGGAACTTTACTTTGACATTGCTTTCAGCTGATTGGTCACTTGCAGACTTGGATATCCTATGCCTTATGGTATATATATATATTTCTTTCCTGGTTCTTTTGATTTTGGGTACAGAAAGTAGTCTGCAGGAGCATTTTGCTCCTGCAAATCCAGAGAATATGAGTGTGTTTGAACACTGGAATAAATGTTTTCCCCCAAAAAATTTGCCTGATGATAATGAGACTCTGCAGGTGCATTGTCATGCAACAACAACCAATTTAAAATTTTTCATATAAAATCCTTATTCCTACTGATCATCTTATCAAACAACCTCATTGAAATCAGTCTGTCTTCAGTCACAGTTTTTCTAATCTTGTGACAATATTTGGTGTTTTGAAGAGAGATTGATCAACTTGGTCGTGGATCATCATTACCTAATGACCCATGTCCTTTATGAAAATGATAAACCATTAAACGTTCTTGCTTGAGACAAAAACTCATCAGTATACAATTTTTTTAAGTTGGAAAAAGTTTCTATATAATTTTTCCAGTTTATGATAAATTTTATAACTTCTCTTTAATCCATTATCAATTTTCTGATAATATGCAAACTATTGTTATTCTTTCCATAATCATTCATAACTACTGGTCAGACAGATTTTAACTAGTGGTCATTGGAAGCAGCACACTGGCAGATAAACTATGCACTGTTTTGATCTCTTATGTTAGTACTAAATGCAAAACATAGTCTTGTAATTTAATTGATACATATGTATGTTTAACAATTTGTTTAATTTGATCCGTCTTTTGTGTGCAGTTTTTATATAAATACTGTGTGTGATTACGCATATGTTTATATTGTATAAAATAAAGTTTAAATGAAGTATTTTTAAAATATTGCTCTTTGTTATTAATTGATTATTGTGGAAATAGAATTTAAAAAGTTTTCAAACTGTTGCTGATTAACTGTCTGAAATGATTAATACGTTACTAATGTAAAGCCAAATTTTATAATTTTGTACAAAACTGAATATTAAGTTCATTCTTATATTGTAAGAACTTGCTTATAGCAAAAATTATTTATTTAAATTTAGTGTGATTAAGTTTTGTATTATTTTTAAGTCGTAATAATGATGATAAAAATTTTTTAATCTTTTAGTCTGGTTTTTTATTCAAATAATTTAATGTGTAATTATAATTAAGATGTATGGTGTTAATTATATTACGATCATTACTACGATTAAGGCTTATGTTTATGAATATTAATATAAATTTTCTTAAAGTTTGTATGAAGTTGAAAAAGTGTTTTAGTCTATTTAAACACACACTGAATGTTGTTGATAATAAATTTACAGACCATGTCAAATAAAAAAGATGATTTTACTAAAGAAAAAGAAAGTTTCTAACATTAGTTCTTAAAGTAAATCATGTATTATTTTTAAAATAAAACCTTCAATAAATTTATTCCTAAACATTTACCTAAATTTTATATAAAGTTTTTAAAATATTTAATACAGTAGCCACTTGTTATATCACACCTTGTTATAGTACTCATTTGAATATATCATGTTATTCTTTTGCGTTCCAAATATGAAAGTGCTCTAGCCAATAATGTATAGATTTATATTGTGCCATTTGATATATTGATTATTTGGTTTGCCTCCCTACAAGTGTGATATAATGAGGGGCTAATGTATATATAGATTGAAATGATTAAAATGTTTGACATAGTGAAATAAAATGTATAATTTAAGTATTTGATTTTTATTATTTTAGCCTTATTAAATATTTGATAATTGATTATTTATAATTATTTTTTTAGATAATTTTGTCTGAAAATTTGCCAGCTGGTCAAGGTATATCTTGGCATTGTAAGCTTCCGATTCTAGCAGCTGGAGGAGATAGAAAAGTTCATATATGGAAGATTGATAGCACATAAAGTTTGTCATTTAAATTAAATTGTTGTAATGCATCAGTAACTATAAGTTAATGATGTCCTCCTTGGTTTTTTTCTTTTAAATAAAATGTGTATATATTGTATTATTTATTGTATTTTTATATATATCTTTTAATGCAGTTTTTTCAATATATTTTGTAAAGTGCATTTTATTGCAAATAATCTTTATAGTAATGAATATATTTGAAAATTTGAACTGTAAACATCTCATACATTTTTATAATTCATTGCTTTAATAATTTTGTATAACTAAAAATTGAATTTGAAAAACAATCCCTATTTAAAGAAAAAAAATAACATATACATCTGTAATATTTTTATATTGAATTATCATATGTTTCATCAATAAAAAGTACATTTTACTATTTTTGATTATCTATTTTGTCCATTAACATTTGAATTGTGTCTGCATCTTCAAAAGGATTGCTATATTCATATTTTTTCCTGAGTAGTTGCTGCAACCAATTCTGAAAAGCAGCTTTCTGTTGAGACTCATAATCTCTTTTTCCATGACCTGTAAATATTAAAATAAAGTCTTAAACAGCTATTTAAAAAATGCATGCGTTTTGCATAAAAATACATTTTATTCAAGTAACATTAGCAAATAAAATAATTATAATAATAATAATAAAAAAATGGTATGTTAAGATATTTCTAAAGGCAATTTTACAACTAGAAAGATGTAAATTGTGTAAAAATATATTTACCTCCAAGACAGGAATGTCCATATTGTTGACAACCCCCTAAAAAAGTAGAATAAATTATCATTTTAATTTTCACTAATTATCCTAATTGCTATTTTATGTAATTAGAATAAGTATTGCTTTCTTTTGTTGTAGTAAATATCAATTCTCTTATTAAAAGTTTAGAAAATTTATTTTTATATCAAAAATTTAAGGAATTATTGGATTAAATTTTTATAATTTGAAATAATTATAAATAAGACAATAGCAATTCAATCAATTTTTAAAGTAACAGAAAGAAATTTTTAATTTAGAAATCGAAATTTTTTTATTGCTCTTCAATTTATAGTTAATCCATTAGTTTTTGTTTCTATTTTTAAATTAAATTAAAGAAAAAAATTTTATATTATTAAAGATTTTATAAATATTTTAAAAGAAATTAAAAACAGAAGATTTTTCAAATTCTTTTTTTTT